CAGATGCGAAGAAGCAGTGGAGGTGGTGGACGCCAGAGAATGCAGAGTCGCCATTGATGGTTGAATATGCAGAGCAGATCGAGGCGAGAGAGAGAGATAAAAGGAAGAGATAATTTGAAGTTGAATGGTGTGTGGCGTGGAGATGGTGGATGCGTGTAACCACCTCACCCATTCACTTTCCTTTCACACAAATTCTTTTCTTTCCAAATTATCTTTCAAAACTATCTACATAAGCTTTTAATAAATAACTATTTTTCTCCCTCCTTTCTAGTTTTTTTCCAAAATATAAATAAGACCATTATTTTATCAGTCAAAATTTTAAACTACAAACAATCAATTATTATATGGCTTAATGGGTATTCTTAAATAGAACTTACAATCATTTCATTTGTATTCCTAAATTTCCTATTTTAATTCAAAAGACCCTTATCCTTACCTCTATTACCATCAAATGATTGATGACTAAGAACTGATCATGTCCTTAACATCCAAGTGCAATAATAACCTTATAGTTCAAATGCGATTCCTAAAATTTTCTTCTACCATTCCATTTCAACAGATATTAGAACTAGAAATCAACCAAACACAAGTTAAACTCCGAGTGAGTTTTCTAAACAGCTTTAGCTTCAGAGGAAAAGACAAGTTAAAATATTGCTCTCTTGGCCATTTAGAACTAATCTCACAACACAACTGTTTGATTCTACATTATCTGATTTCAAACCTTATGATATTGAATATTTTATGGTTTAAACTAAATCTCAAAGGCAATTAGACCAATTGGTGTAGATAAAAAGAATTATTTTGATCAAAATCATGTTGAAACAGAACACTAATATAATAAAGAAATGCTAAATTTTGATAATATTATTATTTTCCCAACAACCTTACCAAACGAGTTCATCTCTGGTGTGTGTCTGTGTCTGGAGGCTGACAAGCGACGCAGGCAGCGGGAGGAAATTTCTCAGTGAGATTGATGCGCAATGTCTGCTCCTTCCCTTGGTTTGCAGGAACATGTAGAAGTGCATCCATGATTAGAATGTCCCACTCACGTGGCCGGACAAAAGAGATCCAGGACTCCTCTGTTCACAATTCACATAAACAAAATACAACCTCAGCTTTTCTCTCCCCTAAACAAAACCGAACTTTTCATTGAGAAAAATGAAAAAGACGAATAAACAAGGGCATACAAAAAACCAGCCTTACCACAAGACCGTTAACTAAAGAAAGATGCTCCAATCCATAAAAATAACACCTAATTGATAATGACAATAAAACTTCGAAACCAACCCCTACTGGAATTTATCTAATAATTATCCAAACATACTCCCCGGATAATAAACCAAGAGTTAAACAAAACGAAAAATATATAACAAGATAATAAAATATTTGATAGAGGATGGTTGTTAATTCGTGTAAAAGAAAACATAATACACCAATATTTCCCATTTTAAATACATTGAAAGCTGAAGCAAAAGTAAAATTAAAGAATTTGATTATATACCAAACATCTTCCTATTTTTCCTCAAAGCCCTTTTCCAAATAATTCACAATTGTCATTCCATTCTTCAACCCCAAAAAGTGGCAGTATATAGCAGAAACAATTACAGGAACAATATTTAAGCCCAAATCCGCAAGAAAATTTCTATGCATAATATCAACTTTAATAAAATGGTAATATAAATGTGAAAAATCAAATAGAAACTTTCACCTGAGATCTAACCAAAAAATAAATAAATAAATAAATGTGAGAAAAGGATAGAACTGAAATTAAGAAAAGAAATTGTAGAGCAGATGACAAGAAAAGTATCTCAACCTCCACTACGAACTGCCTTCAATTGGAGGATCCCAGTGCCCTGTGGTCCTGACACAGGAAACGTGCAGGATAGAGAATGTCTCTTATGAGCTACTGCAAGTGATGCATTGTACCATGGACCTTTAACAATGGGTTCCCCAATAGCATCTCTAAGTGCTTGGTTGTTTCTGGCTTTCTCTATGGCTTTGCTGGAAAATTAATAAAATCAAAATAAGTCTTCTGCTGGAAATCAACTGCAAAAGAAAATCACAACTGTACATTTAAAAGCCTTCCTCTCCAAACAACTTTCACACGTCTCGATTACGAAAAGCTCATTACAACCCTACTTTGGTTCCTTCTTCTTCTCTAAATAGAATTCTTAGGCTAGCACAATTTCTTTTTCAGAAGTATTACTGAGCACTAATAACTCTTAAGCAGTGTATGTATGGATATTATATATATATATATAGTAAAAAATTTAAATTACAAGCTTAGTCCCTTAACTTTAAAAAAGCTTCAGTTTTGTGCCTATTACGTGCTTGAGTGTCTAATAAATTCTTGAACTTCTAATCTTGTATATATAAGTTCCTTAACTTTCAATTTTGTGACTAATAAGCCACTAACCTTTTCAACATCTTTTAAAAGTCATGGACTTACTAGATGCAAAATTACATGTCCATGAATTTTAAATACTTTTAATAGGTAAAGGATCAATCTAACCTCCCTTCTCATATTATCATCACTCAGAGGCCAAAGAAATGGTGGACCAAATTGTAGAGTTGCATAAAGAAGTTCAAAAGCATTTGGAGATGACTGATCAAAACTGCAAAGAACGTACTTACAAGAAAAGACAAAAGAAGATATTTAATGTTGGCAACTTGGTCGTGCTTCATTTGCAAAAGACACTTCTACCAAGTGGATCTTACTACAAACCAAGCAACAAGAAGCTATGACCCTTTTTTTATAAGAAAAAAAAAAGCCAAAAGCTGGAGACCCGCCTAAAGAAATGACCTCCAATCCAAAAGAATAACAACTAACTAATAATTACAAAGCAACTTCGAAACAGGCTCGGGAAAGAGACTTAAAATCTAATGAGCTCCCAAATAGACTCCCTATGTCTCTCCACCTCCCTACAAATTTTGTTGTTTCTCTCCATCCAAATCTCCCACAGGATAGGGAAGAAACAAGCCTGTCGCAAAAAACTTCCTTTCTCACGAAAAGGAGGGAAAAAAAGCACTTCCTCCAACAAGAAGCGAGGACCCTTCAAGATTCTAGAGAAATATGGAGAGAATTCCTACAAAGTGAACCTACCAAATCTCTATGCATCAATTATACATTCCATATTGCGGACCTATTTGATTAGCATGCACTAGATGTATTCTCTTTTAGCTGCTTAACTCAATTATGAATTATTCTAGGGAGGGATGGATCAGAGATCAAAGATTCAAGTGGTAGAAAAACAGCAAAACGAGTGCTCCAGAGTCGGCCGAAGATGGCTTCGAAGGGAAGGATCTGATGTAGGGTTTAATATAATTAAACCTATTCTGTTATTGCTAGTTGTTAGTAGCTGTTAGGTTGTCAAGTAGTTAGGAAATTCCAGCAGTTGGTGGCTATTAGTTAGTTAGTTAGCAAATTAGTTACGGTTTAGTTAACCAAATACTAGAATAAATACTAGTATTCTCTGATAAAATGTTAGGTGATGATTTTAATATAAGTTCCTTCCATTTAATCACATCACTTGTTCTATTAGGGCCCCTCAATTACCTGGTCTTCCTTTTGGAGGTAAAACACAAGAAGCAAATTGTTTGGTGTCCAGTAAGACATTCCAGACAACAATCAAAAAGTTGTGGCAAGCTTTCAATCCCTCGATGAGGCAAACTAGTCCTAGTTCAGGTGGTTCTGAGTAATGTAGTGTTCCTATTTATTTTCAAAAAATATTGATCAAGTCCTAAAAAAGATCAAGAAGGAAATGACTCGGATAAAGGGTCTCATCTTAATTGGAACAAGGTGGCTTACTTATTGAAAATGGTGACCTCGCCATGTATACAATAAGCTGAAAAAAATAATTGGCTCTCYGTTGAATATACGTGCCTGGAGTATTTCATGGTTAGAATGAGTTGGGTTAGGCTTCTACAGTCAACAAAAATGCATCCACTTGAAGCCCACGGAGATCTATCATCTGTTTGCACAATCTCATGCAGAAAAGTACTAAACCAGAGAAACTGGACAAATAACGGAGATTTTAAGGTCCCACAAGATAACCAGAGCAAGGAAATTATGGAAGGGAAAGAAACCAAACAGCCCTATCTTGTCCCCTCACTGCAAAGTTGGCAACTGAACTCTCATGGTAACAATAGCATAAATGTCATTGAATACTGATATGGGATATCATCTGGTCAGGCTCATTAGTTCGTCTGAAGTGAAAAGAATGTAAAAACCATGGCCAATTTTAAAGGTTGAGAACCAATGAGATTCGACAACTTCAATATCTTCTTTCCTTTAAGCTATATGGCTACGAAGAAGTCAACATGGCAGTGGGAAGGGTTTCCTTGAACTCCAAAGCACTAATAAGTTGAACATAACAGCAAACAAGCAATTTCAAGATACATCAGTTTAATTACGCCAAATTTGCTTAACCGATATAATTCATCCAAAATTCAAAAGGCAGTTACAACTGGACAAATACCTGCTACAGCTATGATAAATGGCAAGATCATCTAAAGCACTCAAAGCAACACCACCAGTAACAGTAATAAGTACAAACGAAACTGCCTTACGACCCCAGAATTTATTCACCCCTTCTTCCGCTGGCTTTATGGAACTGCTGCAAGTAAAACTTAATCTGAGATCAACTATATCCATTTGGGAAACCGATAATTGATATCAATGGCAATGTTCTGAAAGTAAAGTCCAACACTTTATTTGTTTTGATAAAAAAAAAAACAAATAAAACAATTCCAACTCCTCCACTAGTACACCTCGGCTCCCAATTTTCGTCATGGAGAAAGGGGAAGATAACTTCACTGCACCAAATCTCAAAGATTCAAAGACTACCTTGAACAAAAAAAAAAAGGGAAGGAATAGAAAACGTTTTGCCAGAGCTATAAACCAGCCAAAGGTGGAAATTAAGCCTCCTAGACGATTAGAACATAAAAAAAGAAATAAAATTTTGAAGAACCCAAATAAATCTCAATCGCGATCAATTCCATTGATTGGTAAACTAGGAGCCGGTATATAAATCCGAGAAATGGAACTGTATGCTAAAAGCAGCAAAAAGCGAAAGGGAAATAAGATATGGGGATTAGAAGGAGGACACGCACCTGGAAGGTTGTGTGGTTGGAGAGCGCTTGAAGATGGAAACCAACCTTTTCGCCACCATTTTTCACTTTCCTTCGCTCAGTGGAGCGCTGTTCCGTAGGCACAGAACATTCTAGCGGGGCAATACTAGAGAGGTACGAGGAAACAGACCGGCGGCGAAGGATTTCGCAGACTCACCTGCAGAGTGTATGAGGGCGGCGGCCCAGTCTTGGTTTTCCGCTCTTGGGAGTCGGATTTTGGCAGTGAGGCCCAAAGCTGGAGGTCAGGGCTTCGATTTTTGTTTTTTTTGATCCAATGGAGGGCAGAAGATTATATATAACGACGTGGTATCAAGGAGTCCTTTCTTTGGTAGGAATCCAAGATTTCCATACGACCAACATTTTGATTCCTACATTTGTCTCTACACTTGTTTCTATCCTTCATTTTAATTTTAATACTTTGAAGCAATTATTTATTAACAATATTTATTATCATAAATATATAACTTTTTAGTGGTRGAGTTGGGGGATCAAATTCACAACATCGTGGTTGGAGAGTACTCGCTTTGACATAAATATTTAATTTTAAAGCAGCATTTTTTTACGAACGACATATATGTTCATAATGTGATAATAAGAAAAATATTAATGTTGAAAATGTAATTTATATTAAATCAATATGAATTAATTTGTTCTACGAAATAACATAAAAAAACAAAATACTAAATTAATTAAAATAAATCTTTTATATTAAATGAATGTATAAATTATATGAATATTCGTAAGGATATTCTTGAAACATTCTATAAATTTTCTCAAGAATAAACCATCCAAAATAAATATTGCTATCTAAATATTATTGGATATCGTTATAAATTTTAAAATTTTAGATATTTGTAGATGTCGGAACAAATGGCCCCTAAATTAAGTGCATGTTGACCAGCTAGACTTCAATTATAATTATAATCTAAAAAATAATTATAAAATCTTTTATCTTATTATCTTTATCATTGACTATATTATAAGAAAAAATTTAATGGGTAAGAATTTACACGGTCATGTTTACAAAATATAGCAATAGATTATGATTTTACAAAGAGAGAGTTTTATAAGACTTTTGGTTGTTAAGATTTATGGTTATAGCAAGTTCAGTAAGAAGTTTGTAACAGCAGACTGCACCCAGAGAAGAGTTGAATCCCTAATGCTTCTTCACCCATCTTACTACACTCTCTATTTACATTCATTCCCCACGAAACTTTTTAGCTGAATCCAATCCAAGAGAGTTACAAAAGAAAACGTCTTTAATTGGACAAAAAATAACAAATGTGAGTGATTAATTCCATGTTCATCTCAAGTTGGTAGGCAGCTGGAAGCATGTCTCAGCCAAGAATCAATACATTAAAAAATAAAAATAAAAAGTATCCAATTTTGTTAGAATTGAGTTGGGTATTCTAAATATTGAATCCAACTCCAATCAAGTTCTCTTGTCCTGTTTAAAGGCACAAGCCTCCTTCAACAGGCCACTCCCCTCAGGCTGCCATACAACAACCATTAATGGCACTTACAGTACCAGCAGCATATGTAGAATGGTCAATGAATCTAGCCTCTCTCATCTCCTTCCCAGTTGTCCTTCTCCTTCGGCCCAGTAGGACCGCCCTCTCCAAACAATTCCGCTGGCAACTTTTTTAATATGTTTGCAACTGAAAATCGAATTGTCAACGGAAGGCGATTGATCATTTTGTCGAGCATCGTTCTCGAACTATACAGAATAGTTGGACCCCATTCTCTCATGAACTGCAACCAACAAGGCTCCACAATGCCACTGCCTCCCAGGTACTCTGCTGCAACTATTTCGTAATGGATGCTTGAATTAATAAAAAGATGACTACGTGCACAGTCATTCCTTATTCCAATCCCGAGAGTCGCACAGCCTTGTATGTAGACCCCAGGATGAGGGTAGCTAGCATGTCCACTCTTTGAGGAGTAAACTATCGCTTTGTTCCCTTGTATGAACTCCAAATTGTAAGCATCCACCCACTCGCCACCACTGTGCTGGGAGAAGTAAATACTCCAAAGCTCTCCTGTAAAGTTGCAGATCCTGAGAGTGAAATGCTCCCAGTCCCCCACATGTTGTCCAATTTTCCCAAGACTAATATTCACCATTCCAAGTTTGAGAGTGGCAGGTCCATTGAAGGGACAGAAAACCCACATAGCAATATCCGTGAATGTCCCACCCAGTGCTGGCTTCACATGAACGTAGAGTTTGGCGCTTGCCAAATTTCCACGTATGATTGTGTCTCTACAACTGTCGATTGGAAAATCCATCCAAAATCTATCGTTTCCCCCACCACCTGGCAAATTTGTGCCACAAACATGTATGGCCTCCCCAGATGAAATACCATCTCTGTGTAATAGCACCCCATTTTCAAAAAACCATGAAACAGAAGATGGCAAGTAGATCTCTTTGGGATGGAAGAAGACAGTAGGTCCATAGTGGTTGATAAGAGCATGAATCTGATCAAGGTTGGGCATTGTAGGTAGTGTAGAATCTAGGTTTTTTAAGCATGCAATAGGAAGCTCTTTTTCAGTGCCTTTGTGACTACCACAGTAAAATGTTCCTATTGGAACTCCCTTACCTAGCATCCCTCGTTGACATGATCTTGTACTCCAAATCTGTACTAGAAATTTTGGACACTTAGAATTGATATTAAGCATTAGGCGGTAAGTTTCACATCTATCGGTTAAATCAGCTCGAACACACCTTACTGCACCCAATTCAGGCTTTTTTAGCTTGTTTGTAACTACATAACCCATGGATTTATAACCATCAGGCGGTTGAGGTAGCCAAATGTAGGCACATTCGCTGTACTTGTCCTCACTCCCATCATCTGGACTCCATATCAATTCATAATCAAGGGGTTCCACAAGGGCTGGCAATTTGACAATTTTGCTAATGTGATCACTTTCCTGAAAATAAGCATCTACTTCCCTCGCCACAAGAAGATAACCGTGCAAGGGCCGGTCATTAGGTTGGCAATAGTGACCAAGGCAGTGGAATCCCTCAGGTATCCTTAATGGTCTGTAAAATGTGACACCGTCATTATCTCGGTAGGTTAGATTGCAGCCCCATATGGATACAAATTGGGTGATTTTCAGAACCTCGATTTCCCCAAGACTTGTTGTTCCAGAAGCAAAACGTCCACCTATAAAGACATGCATCAAGTCCCATTAAAGCAGAATAAATATTTGCATCTTAACTGCAACAACATAAGTAAAAACTCTCTTTTTTATTACTTGTTCACAAGTTATAGTACTTGCATGATTCCTATTCTAGAAAAGCAAACTCAACACGATAAGACACCAATATTTGAAGAAACTAAAGACGGCTGTTAATATTAAGAGAACGTAGGCTGACATAAGCCTAGTAGGAACATCAACAAAGATGAAATGAAGAGGATACCGTTTTTCCTACATGATTCAGTTATATTGATGTATTACTGTTTGCCATGGAAGATTACTACACAGATTTTCAATTCCTTTTCAATATTTTCCCCTAATGAAAATTTATCTTACAAAATACAACTTTCCAGGCTATAATAACATAAAAATGTTTATGGATGCTCTGCTCTACTCTACTGGCATCCTTAAAATATTGTGTGAACACATCTTTYTTTTTATATAAGAAACAGCACTTTCATTATCAAAAGTAGGAAGTACAAAAAAGCGTGGGAGTGTGTGAACACATCTTGAGATATAAGTCGATATAAATCCTAGTTTCCAGACCCAAATGATGCCACTTATGGTTCCTTTGTTCCCTTAGTTGCATTGTGACAGTGCTTCCTTCCAAAGGACAGTATTTTTCCCTTCAAGCTCGGACTAGAATTTACTGGCAGTATAAAACAACTGCCTCATAGTTTTCAACAAGAAGAGATCAACATTAAAATTCTCTCTAGCTTCGGTGCTAGCAATTTTAAACTACAATATGAATTAATTTATCAGGGGAAAGGAGAGATTAACTAGTTTGTCCAATGTTCCTTATCAACAAAAGCCATAGATTGAGTCGAAAATAAACAAAGAATCGCCTCAAATTCAACAAGAGGTAATAAGGGAGAAGAGAAGACAAAAGATGAACAAAAGCCAACAGTTATAATGAAAACCATTTTTGAGTATCATATACCTTGAGGCCATTCGGGAATTGGCGAAGGCAACGAGAAATGGTCGGGCTCCTCCGAGGGCAAAAGGTAGTGGGCATTGCTCCAATGGAACCAGTTGCATCTGGACATTGTCTGGGTCAAACCATTCAGGAGTCAGGGAAAAGTTATACAGGTAAAAGAAAGACAAAAAAGAAAAGATACAATATTGTCCTTTCTTGTACCTACATGATATAAAGGTTGACGACTGAACTCTTACGGTAACAACAAGGCAAACGTCTGATCAAATTCATTAGTTCATCTGAAGTGAAAATACATGGTTTGAGAAATACAACGACCTAAGTAACGTAAAACCATAACCAATTTTAAAAGGTTGAGAACTACCTTGATTCGACAACCTCAATAGCCTCTTGCCTTTATAAATTAGATGCCTAGACAGAATGGTGATGGGGAGAAAACAAGTGCATTACAAAGGAATCAGTTTATTAGACCAAATTCAGACTTCCATTTGCTTAAAATTTATAGTTCATCCAAAGCTTTAACGACTCACGCATACCTGCTACAGCTATGATAAATGGCGAGGTCGTCTAAAGCACTCAAAGCTACACCACCAGTAGCAATAGTAAAGCACAAACGAGACTGGTTTATGGCCCCAGGATTTATTCACCCCTTCCTCAGATAGCTTAACGGAACTGCTCCAAGTAACCCTTGATCAGAGATCATCATGTTCTATCCCACCTCATCCTTTTCGAAAACCGATAATTGATTTCAATGACAATGGTTTTTAAAGGTAGATTTTGGTAATGGAAAACGGAGGGGAAGTAACTCCACTGTAACTGTGCCAAAATCCCAAACAATACCTTTAACCAAAAAGGAAGAGAAAGAAGACCTACCAGCATTGTAGACGAGCAAAAGGAGAAAATTAAGCCTCTTAAACGATCAAAACATTCAAATGAGGAAGAACTAAAGAACCCATGTGTATATCTTTCTAAAAAATGTGGGGGGTCAATTCCATGTTCGAAGTGGGTGAGTATAAAAATTCCAGACCAGAAATGGAAATCAAAAGCGAAAGATGAATAAGAAATCGCGATTACCTGGAAGTTTGTGGCATTGGAGAGCAGTCGAAGATGGAAACCGAGCTTTTGGGGTGCATTTTCAGCTTTGGGGTCGTTGGGGCAATCCAAAAACTGAGCCGAATGCCCTTTCCAAATGCCATCAAATCAGTTGCATCAGGAATTCGTCTGGGTCAAATTTCAAATCAGAATTACAGAGCAAAAATTAAGAATTTGTGTCGGTGATGGAGAAGAAGAATAACTATTTATGTTGATATGGAGGGAAGGTAGACCGATCAAACAAAAAAGAAACTGAAAGGAAAATAAAGGTTTGCCCGATTTGTGTGGACTCACGACTCCATCCACCAATCAACTGGAAACTGCAAATGGACAATTTACATGATTTTATTTTATGAGGAAAAAATATAAAAATTATGATATATTAATTAATAAAACTCATAAAAATTATTCTAAAAAATATATGTTGATGAAAAAATCTGCGARGGTACATACAATCACCTGGGAGGTCGGGCGGCGATACTTAGAGCGATTCCAGGGATACCTGCAAGGAGGTAAACCACTTCAACGCGTAAGTCAGTAAGTAATCTGTGCTCAACATATCAGGTTCAGATAGATTTCATACTTGGACATGTGATGTGGTGGTGTATTTATAGCGACTGACTGGGTAGATAGCTATCCCATCGGGATATTTCCCTGCATCGGGCTCCCCCGAGCGACCTCTGATCCTGACGTAAGGCTTTTCCTCCCAAGTAGTAGAGGCCGACCTAACCGCACTCAAACACGTTGGGCGCCCGTAGCTTGACCCCAACAATATGATTTATTATAAATAATTAATCATAATTATTGAAAATTTAATTTTTATTCTAAATTATTTTAACTAATTTTTTTAAGGAACTAATTTAAATTAGTTGAAGACATTGTTCAGAGTACTTAATTAGTAATTTAAATAAGTAGTTGCATTCATTTAATAAATTTTTGTTAGTAAAAATGAATTAAGTATATATTTTAATAAATTAATATTAATTTATTGTAATTAAATAATTAATGATATTAGTTTTGGAACATTAATATCAATTAATTAAAAAATAAATAAATACTATATAAACATAAAATAAAATTACATATAAAATGAAGGAAAATAAAAACAAAAAAGAAAGGGGGCAAAGCGAAAATGTCCTTTATTTATGAGTAAAAATCATGCTTGGGAGTAAATGTCCATGTCTGTCGTTTATAAACCTATTCTTAATACAGGTAGGGGTGGAGAAATTTTATTTATTTATTTGAGGCTATTGTTGTCCTACGAATTATTGTTTTGCCCTCATCATTGAAAACACATGAAACTTAGTGTTGGAAGTGAAAATCGCAGGCTGGCCATCAGCCTTTAAGCTATTGACCTGCGGAGCTATTCAAGCAGAATTAGAGGGTTGGCAAGATTACCTCCGTAATCCTAGTCATAATTCTTGCAACAGGAGATGAATACACATCACTCCATCTAGTAAGGTATGAGAATTCTATCTGAAATCGACCTAAAGATCACGCGGTCGGCAAAGGTGGTGAGTGGGTCCCGTACTCATTCTTCGCTCTTCCACATACTGGCATGTAACTCTACACTCAAGTGGGATGGTGTCGCCGTTGTCTGCAACTTTAACTAGGTGTTGAGGTTAGCCAACTCCAACTCCTCATGTCTTATGGAGACAGCCCAAAGAGTTCTTTCCCTTGGTGATGGACCTTTGTGAGCTACGGCTAATATCCTCTCCAAGAGATTTCGAGGCAGTCCCCGACACGACATGGCTGGCTTTGATTCTCCCATAAAACTATGTGACAAAAAATTGAAAGTTGATAAAAATGTAAAAGTCGTTGTAAATAAAATGGGGGGGAGAGAAATATGATATTATAAGGCGATTCCTATAGACTACACGAGGAGAGGAGAGGAAAAAGACCACCACCACAAGGCCCTCCCCCTTTCGTTCCAATCCAACAGGATTCCATTCCAGAGGCAGAACACAGCAAGCAGGTTTCCGATTACCAATCTTGTTTGGATTTATCTGTATATAACTGGATCGATTTTGATTTAGAGGGCGGTGGAAAGGGTCACAAGATGGTGCTCATCATTGCGTTGCACCATAACCAAATACAAACTTCAATGCATAATGCTTTTTCTTGCCTTTACTAGCATGTTCAAAGCTATTGCGAAACAAGAATAACAGACAAGTATAGCCAAAAGCAAACAAGTTCCTTGTAAGATTAAGATTAATGAAAAGGATCATCAACTCTGAAGTCTTTTCCCTCGCAATGTGCCTAACAAGTGATTGTACTTGAAATACCAAAATTTCCCACCTTCAATTGCATCTCAAAAACCAATCAAGGGGGAAAATCACCACCACCTTATCTTAAATTAATTCCTCACAAATTAACGTCAACTCACGCTCAGAACACAATCTAGTACAAACCAATTTTCTCTAAACCACTCACACGGGGAGACACTGCTTTCTCTGAACCCAACCACCTTCATATCAAAACTCTTCCAGAGTTTCATCTCCATAACGGTTATGCACAAAGTAGATGATTTGATGATACTATTGAACCTTGTGATAGCCCCGCTGAGGGAAACCATTGCCTCTCAACCTGCCGTAGTCACTGCCATCCTGGCTGCTTCCTCGGCCCAAATTACGAGAGCCAAACCGTCCTCTGGGGGCATCTGACTGGTAATTGCCTCTACCTCTTCCCCTCCCTGATCATTGCACCAATAAAACACGCATCAGGAACCATCCCCGTGAAAGCCAATGCAAATAAATCACCATCATTCATAAGAGCTTTGGGTGGGGGGCGGTAAATCAAACAACTTTGCTACTTTCAAGAATTAGAAAAAAAGCACATATACTGGAGTTGGCATTTCTTGCATTTCATGAAATTCTTGAAAGGGCTTCTTTACCTTTCCAAGAGCAACAATAATAGGGAATTTTGTTTTGACAAAAAACAGTGTTAGCAATAATTATAAATTAAAAGAAAGCCTGACAAGAATCAAATTAGTATGACACTAACCCCCCAAAGCATACATGTAGCACTTCCTCTTATCCTAAAAAGTTATTAACCACGAATCAGCATCATTAATTCATCATGAATGTTTACGAGCTCAGCCCATCCAGGTAAGTAGAGATTTAACATAAGCAATTTCTTAAGAGTTTCGATGAAAGTGACACCATAATTAATCCAGATATCTTGCCATCTTGGTTAAAGTTTTATGTATAGCATCTTTTCAATATGGTTATTTTAGTAACATGCAGAAACAAATATTTTATTTTTAAAAGAAATGCTTCCATCAAGAAAAATGAAAGAAACGAATTCATGGACACATCTAGTAAAAGATAATCCAGAAAAAAAGTGATAACCGGAACAAGGATAATTTCAGCCAGTTCAGAAACATTATTAAACACAATTGATTGTGTTTCAGAGGTATATCTGCACTTACTTCCTCCCCGAGTACCGCTGCTGTTTGGCCGCCGTTCCTCTATATAGACTTGCCTTCCAGCTATATGAATTGGAGATGCCTATAACAGAATTTGATTTATACGTTACAATAATTCATATTAAAATCTTTTCCATATGTAAGACAATCATATTCTACAAGAGAGAAGGAAAATCCGATTTTAAATGGCACACCAAATGCAAGAAAACTAGAGAAGTGTTACACACGCACAACAGCTCAAAGCACAGTCCAGAAAGTATTTCAATAACAAGTCTCAGAACCATAAAAATCAGAAGATAAAACAAAAACTCAACTCAATAAATAAATTGGAAAGGGAAGAGGGAGGAATCTCATATAAACTCGGTTTGTCTGTCACGGAAACCTAAACATAATAAAATGTCCCCAGCTAATGCAAAAAAAAAACTAGCCAAAAAAATAAGATGTTATAGGGTCCAAACCTTTAGAGCATTCTGAACACCAATAATATCTTCAAACTCAACGAAAGCATAACAAACTCCAATTTCCTGTGCACAGAAATCTATGTTTAGCTTCTAATGAATAACCAGCAAACATAAAAAAGTAAAGAACTGACCTTCCGAGACCTAATGAACACACCATCAGGCTGAATTCGACCAAAGGCTTTAAATTCTTGCTCTATTTCAGCTTCGTTGACAGAAGGCGGCAAGTTCCTAACGTATACGGATTTTATTTCACCTGAAGAGAGAACAATAAAAGACTAATCAGATTCTTCAAGAATGAAAATTACACAAAATCCAAAGCAAAGATAAAACTCACAATATTTCTATTTCAATGTATCAAAAAAAAAAAATTATAGTTGCCCGTGTAAACACCATTATAAAAATTTTCCCATGTCCTTTACATGGTTATTTCAGATGTTTGGCAAGCAGAATACCGTACTACAAAATAAACCTGAGAATAACTGTCATGCAAATTTTCAAGAAAAGTATGGATCCTGGATACAGCTAATGAAAAGTAGTTAAAATCTCAGATGTAAACCAAAAGATCAATAACCTCATACCACATTATAAAGACTGGAGTACAAAAAGAAAACAGTGATCAGACAATTGCCCCTGATTTAGATTGTAAGCACCCAAATTTTCAGATGAATCAAGAATTTGACCTTCATCTTCTACACCGAAGCCTTCTTCAATTGTATCTGCTCCAGATTCAGGGACATATGATGGTGCAGGGTTTATCTGTTGAGGGGCAGGTTCTGGAGTATGGTTCCAGTCAGAAGTAGCTGCAGCATTTGGATAAAATGATGGTTGGGGAATAGCTGATTGTGCTGATTCCGCTCTAGCAGCTCTCAACTAAATTTCAATAATATCAACATATAAGAAAATTATCTTAGGTTTGAACCACTCATCAATAAGGGGATAAATAAATATTTGGTTCAAGTTGTAATTACTGAAAAATTGACAGAGCCCTAAGAAGCCTTTAATCTTAGGACTATAATGAAACAAAATAATAACGTATATAGCTTTTCAACTTTTTATTTCCTCAAAAGGACGAGGTTCTGTTTACCGACCCCTTTTTTTACTCCATTATTTTAGTCACAAAAACTATTAAAGGACTAAAGCTTGATGACATATTGCCACCGCACACACAAACACAGTATACACAAGCAGACACCAACACTAGGAGTAATGGTAATAGTGCACATACAATGGAAGCATAAGTTCTCTTTTCTGGCTCCCCAACGGGTTCATCAATCACTGCAGAAAGAGGCTCCTGCACGCTGTCAACTACATTTTGATGTGAAGTAACCAAATCCTCCACAGGGGCCTCCTCCACAACAACTTCAGTTTCAAATTCCTCCTGCTGCTGTTGCTCAGGGAGGCTGTATTTATCAACTGGATCGTCTTCTATGTGAACCGAGTCCACATATTCTCTGGCACTTTCCTCCAAAACATAGTCCGAAACTACCAAACCAAAATCAAGAAAAGTACCCATCTTAATAACGTTAGCCGACTAATCCAACTATTAATGATCCATAGATAAATTATTTCAGCAAACAATCACTTTCAACTATAACTATACTCAGGCTCTTCTAAAGCTAGGACATACAAGTGCTCCAAGAGATTGAGTACACCATGTAAAGGAAAAAGAATCTACTAACCATCGCCACGCCACGCTAAAAGTATTTTGTCCATCTATCTATAGGAAAATTTAAAAACCCAAGTGATTTGTTGCCCAATTCTTCAATACTATTGACAAAGTACCTGGTGGATCTGGAATGGAGCTGGAAGCATTTAGTTCAGCTTCAAATTGATTTTCTGATAGTACGGGCATTGGATTATGCTGAAGTATCTCCTCATCCATGAAATGAAAGATATCATTAAGAACAAAGTAACCCTTCTCTTGAGGAGCGAGAAAAAAGGTCTGCACAAACTTCCTGATCCCACTGAACTCCTTTGACTTTGCAGAACCTGAAACCACTACTAGAATACCTCCATTCCAAGAATCCATAGAGTTGATTGTCTTGATCGAAAATGCAGTGAAATTTAGCGACATGATAAGCGTATGTATTTGCTGCAGGACAAAAATGTTAAAATAAGAAACATGAGAGTTATCGTGCGGAGCAGAGCTTCTCACAGTGACAACAAATTAATGACAAAGAGACATATGTTCCGTTCTTTTCTCTTGACCCAAGTCCGTAACACTGAAAGGAAAGGTTCGGTCAGAAATCAACTAAAAAACCAGTAGCCCCGTGATGATATTTCGTAGCACAAACCCTAATAAAGTATAATATCTACTGGTACCTACAGGTTAATAATCAAGAAGTCTAGATGGAATTTAAAACTCCATGTAGAGCTAAAAAGTTGCCGGAGTCTTAAATCAATAATAGACAAATTACCAACTCAATAAACGAAAATTGAGACATTGGCATAAGAATTAAAAACAACAAGTACCAGCATTGTGGAAGCAGTCTCGGAGGAATCCCCATCAACCCGAATCATGGAGCTAGCTTCGGAGTAAAACTGGTGAACAAGGTCAGGCTGCTGCCGAAGAACATGGTAGTACTGTTCCACAAAGTAGGACCCAACCTGCAGCATCTCAAAATCCATATCCACCCCATAAGAAAAAGCAAAAAAGATAGACAAAAACATGCAGAGAAAGATACGTAAAAGCAAGGTGAGAGGAAGATGGAGACCTGGACAGCGCTGACAGATCCAGAATAAGCTGCCATTTTCACAACAGTAAAAATAAGGGTGCTCGAAAAGTAAAGCTCAGTTCACCGAGGAACGCATGCAAATCCCGAAATCGTAAAGAGCAGTAGCGTAAGTAGGAGAGTGGGCAGATCAAGGAGGAGGAAAAAAAAAAGTAAGGGGAAAACCCTAAGGAGTAATTGAGGAATCTGCTAAGGTTGTTAGAAAGGATGGGATGAATTGTGGATTAGAGAATCCGGGAAGAAGAAGAAAAGAGGAGGAGGAGGAGGAGCCGCCGGTGGAGAAGGCGGAGATCGTAGAGATGGCCAATAAGGAGGAACCTCAAAGGCAGCACAAGCAGCAGCAGATCTATGGAAGGGGAAGCCAAGGGATTTTTCTTCAGACTTTCACACACACACAATTCGCTTTTATTTATATCGATATCAAATCACGGCCCTTCGATCACTGGGACCCACCTCTCCATCAACCATGCCACGTTATTCCCTTCGCCAAATCAACGGCCTGGATCTCCGCCTGCTTCTCTTCTCTGTTGCTGCTATGCTTTCGTCGGGTGCCTGCTGGTCCGTATACGTGACCCGACCCGACCCGTGTCAGTTATAGGGGAATGTAATGTTAAATTTTGAAAAAATATGAAACTAAAATTAGTACTTTTTATTTGAAATAATATGGTAATTTTGTAATGTAGGAATCTTCAGGAAAAAGTTTCTAGTATACCTAAATCGTCTTTATACGTGGACAAAAACTATCAAATATTTACAAATAGTTTCAAAGTTAACATTTTCTTATAAATAACTTCAAAATTACAATATTTTTACTATTCTTTCTTAAAAGTACAATCTTTTTGTCATTTCCTCGCTAAAACTGAAAGTGGTGTTTTATTGTAGCTCTAGAGAGATATTAGGGTCAATTTGAAGTGGGTGAATTACATAAATCCTGCGTGCATTAATTTTAAAATTTTACAAAAATTTTAGTTTTCAATTTAATGAGACCAACCAAAAACTACTTTGTGCCATTAAAAAAATTAAACTAAACTAATAATATTTCTGTAAAATATCTTTATTTTATGCGATTTAGTATGATTTTTCTTTCGAAATTTATTTTTTTTTTCTTTTTTCCTCCTAGACTATTACATAACAAATACTGAGGATGGAGATTTTTTCTCTTTTTCTGTTGCCTTTTTTCTGTAAATTTTTCTTATTTTTAGAATTTTGAGTATACATTATTGTATGGAAGGTAACTCGTTTTTCTCTTTTTACGCCAAAAAAAAAGGTCAGCTTTCTGTCAGGACTAATTTGAATATTGTTTTCTTTTTAAATTTTGAGAATAAAATGAAATTTTACGAATATAACAAATTCAAATCATCATTGCAACAACTGTTGCCATTTTTAAAACTTTGAGTATCTTTTGATATATGGAAGGTAATTCAATTATTTTCTTTTTACTTTAAAGAAATACTTTAGGTCCATTTTAAACTCCAAACTTAATAGAAAAAATCTTGTACCAAATATTTAAATTTAAAAATATTAAAAGTAGTATAAATGTTTTAGCTTAATTTGGAATAGAATTTATTAAATGAGAATGTGTATATGTATATATTTTTTAATATTTTAGATAATAAAAAAAACTTAAAATGGACAAACAGTTATCTTGTGAGGCTATCATTTCTGGAAAATATGTGTAAATTAATGATGAGACTGAAATGGGATAAGGGTTGAAACATATCTAAAAAATCTTTCTCAAAATATACTGTTTCGAAAGATATATATACTTTAAATACACTGCCACTGCCAGCAAATCTTATTTGGAGATTGATGGCTCTTTTTTATTTTATTTTATTTTATTTTTTTGAGATATTTCAATATTAGACTAAATTCTACACTAAATCCATTGTTAGAAACTTTGTTAATGAAAAGCTTATTCTATCTTTAGGTTACTGTTAACATTTGTTAACAAATTTTTTGTTTTTTTTGTTTTTTATGCCCAAGGGCCTAATTAAAAAAAATAAGAATTTTAAAAGATTAAATACCAAATTGAGAATTACTATGTTTTGCCTCAAATATAATACTTATAAGATGTTGTTCAACAATAGTGTTCAATGAGTTTTCAAAACGACCAAAATTTTGAAGAGTCCAAATTTTGCCAGTAAATATCTGATTTTCTTCAAAATAGAAGCCAATGAAATTGGCTTTCAAACGTAGTAGCCATCATTAATCTAATTTCATATATTGATTGTAAAAACGAGTGAATATAACTTTTTTAAACACCTTAGCTCGAATTCAACGAAATTCACTGTACCATATTCTGGCTGAGAAAACTGGTAATCCAATCAAGATCAAATAAAAAAAATGAAAAATGAAAAATGAAAAAACTGGAAGTGATGAAACCTTACTTTCAAACTGGTAATCCAAAAATAGGCTTTCAAACGTAGTAGTCACTCCCAGTTTGATGCCACAACCATCTATGCACCATACTAGGGGTCTGCGTCTGCCCATATATAACAGAACATTCACAACAAATGGAGTCGAGTCAAGTCGGTTGAAATCATTACCTTCCGAAGCTACTTAGCAATGAAAAATTCTGATACCCAAGTTACCATTTTGGCACATCAAAAATTAAAACACAAGAAGAATTGGGTGGAAGAAGAAGATTCTAGAACTGTCCCCTAGTTTGTGTTAGCCATATGCCATACCCATGTCCCTAAAGAACAATGGTACAGGAGAGGTCAGATGGATCGTATGGTACATGAGGGAAAAATTTTAGATTACAGTTACCAGTAAAGTAAGCTAATGGGAACTCTTATCCATTCATGTAGTAGCCCCCATAATATGGCTGAGCGGCTGAAGCTGGCTGTTGCGATGGTGCTAACGTTGCTGCTTGAGCAGTAGGCTGGGCATAACTCTGAGCTGAATACGCCTGCTGCACAACAAAAACACAAAAACAGTATATGCATAAAGAATGACTTGACTTTCTGGCATTGGCATACATCAAACCCAAAGCAGAGGCTTATATTCTCCTTTTTTTCTGAATAAGTTAAAGAGGGCAACTAGCAAAATATTCTTAATCGATTTAATACCTGGACAGGGTATGTAGGAGGATACGAGGCATAAGTGGAAGCTTGTGACACTGATGTGGACACTTGTGGATTCGTGTAAGTGCTTCCATACCCACTATACGAGGCCTGTGTTCAACAAGATGGGAAAAAACACACAACGCTTATTCCTTTTCGTTTTGCAGATGCATATTGTGATCTTCAAATTAACGCATGCTAATATCAAACTATCCAAAGTGATTAAATTATGTGACAAGAGTAGAAACAAAGTACATGGAAACAAGAAATTGAAAAAGATGGAGAGAGAATCATGCAACTTCTCCTTTACCTTCCATATGTGACTTGCATGCGAATAAAAAAAAAATACTTGTGGATCTTTTTTGTAGTTTTCTGCTTTTAACAATTAAACTGGACAACTAGTCAATTAGTTCACCCTTAAAAAAAAATCAGAATTTTGAAAGCTTGATAACCATTTTGTTATATTTTTTTTTAAATAAGCCTGTTTAGCCACAATTTTCTTGCGTATGAAATTCACTTCGCCAAAAGATTTTTGAAATCCTACCCAAATCTTTAAAAAACTAAAAAAAAATGGTTTTTATAAATTTGCCTTTGCAATCGGAATTTGGTTCCCAATATAAAACTGATTTTAAAAAGATGAAAAACAATTAAAAGAAATTATGAATAAACAAACTAAATTTTTATAATACTCTAAATGAATTCATCATCAAAATCAAATAATTCTCTCACCGCTTCAAAAAAAAAACTAGAATTAAAAAACAAAGGAAATTGTTGTACACAAGCATGAGTTTTAAAAATAGAAGGAAAAAGAAAAGGACCTTTCAAATGGACGTGGACCTAAATAAACTCTATATTACCTAAAACAGTAATTAGTATAATATTGAAACGGGGAGTATAAACGAAAAGAATGAAAAGGGATCATTAAGCAGGGAAAAAATAACTGCAACAAAAAACTAAATAAAAAAACCCGTCTACATAATAAACTAGGAAAGAGCAAATTAATATAAACTGATTTGACATTATTGCCCCAGAAATAAGTAAAGAACTTGACTATATTCCGGACTACCTTCAGACCAATTATTGTTCCCTTCCTACCAAACCACAACTCTCAAAAATATGGTCAAATGACAACGGAAAACAACCTTTTGTTAAGATCCCAACCACTAAAAGATCAAAAAAATTGAATAGAAACTGCATTCTTCAAAGGAGTCCACATATACAACAAGAAGCTTCACCTTAAATCATGCAAGCTAAATGCAAATATTCACTTTAACAGACACAGTTCCCCAATCCTCAGAACAAGGAAACAGAGTTCTTTTCCTTTCATTTTGGGTGGTCTTGTTTGTAGGCGAGAGTGTGGTTGGAAATAATTGTGACGGTGAGAATGAGATTATGATGATGACAATATATGAAGAAATAATTTATTCTGGACCAATAAATTAAAATGCACCGAGGAAAAACATATGGGTAATTTTTAACAAAAACTGAAAGACATATTCATATGAAAAAAAAAAAAAGAACAAGATGAAAGGGCTTTTACCGATTGGGTATATCCAGGCGCCCATTGTTGCTGCCCCTGCGCTTGAGCAACAGGAGGCCACGCTTGTGGTTGTAGACCATAGCTAGCTGCCCACTGGTTTTGACCGGTTGGATAAGCACCCATCAAAGATTGTGCTGGTGAAGCAACACTAGGATAAGGTTTGGCCATTTTTGCTTTTTCAGAAGCTAGATAATCATCTGCAAGGCGTTTTTTCAATTCTGATGTACTCTTATGTGAAATGAATAGCTTGGCATGTCTATCCTCGGCCTTCTTGATAGACTGAACATCTCCAAAGAGATTCAGAAACTGCAAAATTATTCATGAACGCATTCAGGAAAATACAATCCAAACAACTCTTTTTTTTTTTTTTGATAACCAAACATATTAGAACGCTGGAAATATTTTTTGGTAGGAAAATGCCAGAAAGATTTCATCTCATGAACATCTACTTCCAGATTTCAACACCGTCATGATGAACTTTATTTGTACCTCCAAGAAAATGCTTGATAACTCCTCCCTCATTGAAGCACTCACGACAGTTGGATTCTCTGTATTGGGCATTATGACCTTCTCAACTAATGAATCTAAATAATCAATTCTCTTTGCTGTTGACTGAATTGCCTCAAAATGTATCAAGGCCTGGATGAATCATGGAGGCAAAGAAAATACATTAACCACATGAAAACACGAGAGAGAGAGAGAGAGAGAGAGAGTACCTCAATGAGTGGTTTAGATAATTCACCATGCTCAACTGCCTTATCCAGAATTTCTCTAGCTTTTCCTTCATTCTTACATACCTGTCAACAATATGAATAGAGAAGGCTCTATGAAAACAACGCTTAAGAAATCAAGGAATAGAACATTTCAACAGATCATGTCCCCTCATAACAGACTGCTATTAGATAAATGAATAATTACAAGAACTGCTTAAAAGTTGAGCAGGTAATAAAGAAAAAATGGCAAGTTTCTTTTCTGAATATGAAGGAATAAATTTCTTGCAGAACTGTGGGTGTAAAGAAGCATAAAGAAAAACTACAAAGGAACAAGTGCAGAAAGCAGAATTATGTTAACACTCCAAGTAGTGCAGGGACCACAATTTTGGCCAACATACCAAGTTCAGAAACCTCGAGTACTGAGCATATAACAGTGGCAATGCACGAGAATGTTCTTTTCCTTTTTCAATAGCAATGGCCTGTTCATATACAGAGTACGCATCTTCCAGGTTACCCTGAAAATTCCAACCACCAAATGAGAAAAAGCATGCATCATCAATATGTACCATAACTTATTTAAAACATCTTACCAGACGATGTTCCATATTAGCATGCTTAATAATTGCTTCAAGAAGACCAGGTGAAATTTCAGTATGCACAAGTTGATATGAGGCTCGAGCACTGGCAATATCCTGATTCTGCTCCTTGAACCGAGCAGCAAATAAATGGATCTCTGGTCGTCTCTGTTGAAGTTTTTGGAAGTATATAAATATTTACGCATACAAATCCATATTTATAGATAATTTTTTAAAACAAAGCTTCACCTCCGTGCATTACAGACAACAAAATCTCAAGACAAATTGGATACCTGCTGTCTAACTTAGTCATAGGGGGTACTTCCTTTTTGTCCAACTTAGTCAAAGGGGATACATGTTATAATCCAGCTTGCTCCTCAACATTGTAAATTTCAACTTAATTCCATTCAATTAGTGCTCCTCATAATTTACAAAAACTTAAAACTGAGAATTGTAAGCAAAAGATGCACCAAGACATTTGTTAAAAAAGAAGAAATGACAATAATTAATAAAACAAAAGACTTCCATATAGGGAAGAAAAATGAAACCAGATTAGCAGTGCTTTAAACTGAGATAATTGAATTGTTCAATCACTCGATTGAACTAAGAAGGGAGGACTTGGTGGCTAAGCTGAGAAAGGGTTGTGTACATAGGTATCGGAAACGAGGGCACAGAGACATTTATGTACCTATTTCATATACGACCCATGAAAATTTTGACTTTTTTACTCCTTGAATCTCTAGTTTTCCAAATAATTATATATTGGAGTGGAAATACATGGAAATACGTCTTAATGTCTCCCATAACTTATGTATGGAACTATTGAAACATGTAGAAAAGTATAAATAATTATCTCTGTTTCTATGATGGCTTAGTACCTTAGACAATAACAAGCTGGGCCTTAAATTTTTTGGTAACTGGAAGGTTGTGTTTTAATCATTTGGAAAATAGTGTGCCAACATCAACGATGTTGATTTACTGGTGAACTTTCTGATAATTTAATATGAGATGTAATATTGATTTACTGGTGAACTTTAGCTTGACTATACTCCATGCCATCCTTCTCGAAGATACTTCAACCAAACCTTTCTGATAATTTATTGATTAAGCCATTTACTGTATTAGTTACTGTTGCAACCATATACTGTAATTTTTTTTTTTGGTTAAGAAACAATTTCATTGAGGTGTGAAATAACAAAAGGGGGGTGTGAAAACCCCACAAATCAAAGGAGTTACATGAAACTTCTCCGATTGGTCAAAAGAGAAACCATACTATAAGAGTAAAAAAGTGGAGTGTCATATACTGTAATTTGTAAGTGTACATTTGGTGACAGTTGCAATACTGGTCAATGGTAGTTACATTTCCTTGTTTGGAGGATGCAGGAAACACCAAAGTACACAAGCAGATACCCTACAACTTGCGCAGCCTAGCAAAAACCCTTTCACTAGTAGGCMTCTTTTAAACGAGTCCCACCCCTCGACAAAGATTGCAACTCCTCAAGAGTAAGTACACCCAAGAAAGAGACCGAGTAGATGACAAAGATGGCAACCCTTCAGGAATAAAAAGTATGATTGTGTCATGTGTGTGTGTGTGTGTGTATAGGGAATGGTGACAGGGTGGGGAATATATTCCCCAATCTCAATCCCAACCATATTTTGAACCGGGATTCCTTACCCCATTTGAGTATTTTATTCATCCCTAGACAGGCCTAGCACTTATGCCAATTTTTCATGCCTCAATTAACAACCTTGACTATCAGTCTACCACACATCTTACATGTCATCATCCTTGCTTATGTTGCACATAGTGTGCCTACTTGCTACACTCAGTGTTGTGGGCATGCTTGTCCAGGGTGTGTTACCCATGGCCGCATGTCCAAACCATCCTCACCACTCGCTTTCCTTTCATGTCTTTAAAGCTTTCTAGTGTAATTTTCTTGTATCGGGTTTTTGGGGTTGTAGGTGGATTTTGGCCGAGCGGCTTTGGAACTAGGTGTGTATTAGTAAGATATGTAAGCACGCCAAATTTCAAGCCAAT